ATTGTTAAAATGGCAATCACTCAAACCGTAACACGCGTGATGATCACAGTCGAGTCTTGACAATTAAATGAGGGCGATTTGCGAGGGTATTTTGTACAAAATGTGTTCGTAAATCTTACTAATAGATATTTATTTTGTTCGTAAATCTTGTCCAAATTTCGTAATTTACGACATTTGCGAGCGACAGCGAGAGCACAGTATTATAATTATTGTGTATTTTAAATCATAAACATCAATAGATTTGATTTTGAAAATGAAATACGCCTTTAATTCAGGACTACTTATGAAATTTGCCCAATTTTTACTCGAATAAAATTAAAGCGCTTTACAGAAATGCAGCTTAGCTGTATAAAAGAGAGTGATCAGAGCTATGTTTTTGTGTAGAAAGTGAAACCTGTCTTCTACATATTGCAAACGCCCCCAGGATAGATGTCTGCTGAGTGATGAGGTCACATGTCTAAACAGACAGTGGAAATGATAAAATTCTAATAACTCAAAAGGTGTAAGGTTTATTTCAAGATTAACTTCAGACACAAACATATATCAAATTTGAATTTAAATGAAAGATATAGAATGAATTATAGCTTGTGTTTTATCACATACTGTAAAGGGATTAATTGTTCACTGGGTTTTAATTTTGTTTATTTCGCTGAGTGGAAAATACGCTAAATTAAAACCCAGTGAATATGTAAAATTTAGCATAGAACATATTATCTAAAATGATAAAACTGTGAATTTAAAACCCACTGAATATGCCTGCAATGGTAAATCAGCAAATTTAAACTCAGTGAAAATTAGTCATTTTACAGTATCTAGACAATTCAATTCCTAGCAAATGCCTTACTTAAATTGGACTGACTGATTTTGCTAAAACAATTTTTTTTATTTTTTGCTATCAATTCAACCACTTGGCAGGAAATATCTACACCAAGATGTTACTTTGACTTTTTTTCCGTATTACCAAGAAATATAACCAACCCTTCCTTTATTTTGGTTTTAAATATGAAATGATTCAACCAGCCAACAAAAATGTCAGTGAGTCTTTTATGCTGCATTTGTTGCCATTGTTCGCTGTCTATGATCATCTGTTTCAATGTTCATAATAATTTCTTTCATGTTTCTGCATTTTGTACATCATTTGAAGAACATTAGCTCATCACCCAAAAGGTTTTCACATAAAAAATCTGATGAACAAGATTTTTTTTAAATGATTTTCCCAAAAATTCGAAGTTTGCCTTCTGTAAATTTTAGGAGTCTATCTTCTACTCGGTACCATAACTATTGAATTAAAAATAAATTACTATTTCCCATTCAATGGACTGAATACAAGCAATACAGTATTCAGAAAAGTATTCAGTGTCAGAAAACTGCACCCAGATATAAATTTCGCACTAGGTGTACAAGTGTAAATATTCAACCACTACCATTAGTACCGGTAGATGGTGACTGCATCTGAAACACCACTTTGTTAATCGTCTAGTTGTGCTGTCACTGAGTCTGGCCACTGAACACTTTGTGAATTGCCCATCAGTTGTTTGAGAACCTACATGGTGTAACAGTAGCTGGTACATTTGCAGGTTTTCTGGCGTAAAACCCTGCAGTTTTGTCAACAATACTGAATCAGACAGTAGGTACTGTAGATACCCCACTCAGACTGATAAGCAAAGGAAACCAAACACTGCTTGGGCAATTTGTCTTAGCATGCACATTTTTTACCCACTGTAATTTCAGAAGTACTGGGAACAGAAGCAGAAACAGTGGGAAATCTATGATCATGTGATACCCCACCAACAGATGATCAAAGGAAGTATTCTTAGTTGGTCTGCAGTCTTGTTCTCCACGGTTTCAGCTGCATAAAAACTTAAGGCAGCTGCGTTAAGCAGAAAATTGATACAGCACAATGCTAGTGACACCATCTTAGGAGTTGACTTTGAATAAATATTTGATAATTTGAAGCCATTATAGCATTCATTTGGGGAACATGAAAACTTATTTCCATGACCTATGAATTTTATGACCTGTCATCCCAAAATTTAAGAATTTCTTAGAGGGAAGTAGAGAGAAAAAGGTGAATTCCCACTTTTGAATAGAAAAACTTGATTATGGTTAAATTGTCTCAGGTCAAATGTGTGTACTAGTGGGTACATCTTATTTTTCTCAGTAACATCTATGGAGTTGGTGTAAATTAGTGCGCAATTTAGTTTCAGTCGCCATTTTGAATATTAGGCTGGTAAATAATTAATATTTTCATAATGTTTCAAACCATGGCAAAATATAACCAAAATCCTTCATAATTTTCAAACAATAGAATTCTCATGACTTGTGGAATTAAAAATGGCGTTCCTATAATAGGACTATTACACACATTCCTACTACACAAGTGCAACATCTATAGTTAAATCGTATGTTCTGATGATGTTATTGCAGTTATAGTCATTTGTAACTGTCTATAAGTGTAAATAAAACTGTTAACCTTTACAGCGGGCACCAACAAAAACTGATCTAGAAAAACACTATCTTCCTTGCAACATTGTATGTTGAAAAGGGAGATTAAAATATGTATTGTTTAGCAGTTTTCCTGATCAGTTTAATTCATCGCAACTGTAAAATATAGTACATTTGTATCCTATGGGCAAAGGTGACATGTCCTCACATTACATTGATCTCAATAAATCACAAGACAAATATGAAAGAATCGACAAGAGTCGTTTAGGGTCGTTTTTTGCTATCATCTCTGAGTATGTACTGCATGTCTTTTCCTTCTTTAAGAGATTACAATCATAGTAACCAAGCAAACACTGCATTCTGCATGGCTGAATTATGGAACAGAAGAACTTTTTTTATTGATTCACACATGAAACTATTGAAATATGAATTTCATACGAATAACACCCTCACATAGCGTACATGTCTGCTTAGTGTGATTTCAAACATTCCTGCATATTACTGTTCATGGCTATGTTAGTTGTATTTACCCTTATTTATTATCCGCCTTAGATGAAATACCGGTAATAATAATAAAAGAGCATCTATAATCACAACAGAGAAAAAAAGAGAGAGGGACTTGTTCACTTTTCATTTTTAGTAGAACATGATATTTATTACAATACAGATTTGCGAAACGTTCATCATACAATCTCTACTTTCGCGAATTGCATTTTTTAGCACGGACCAGCAGAAAATGTTAGTTCTACGGTTTTAGAAAGTCAACAGACCATGGAATCAACTGAGTGGTACGAATAAATCAAATAACGACGCAATCGAGCGATATCATTGGTGTTGCAGTTTTAGTTTCTCAAATACAATGACAGCTAATAACGGGATGGTAAAACCATGTGTGAAACAGAGAAACATCGCTCTGGTGAACTGGTGATCAGAAAACAGTTACTTTTACAGTGTCAACTTTGATAATTTTAACACGGCATGTTTGAATTGGATTTCAGCAAGTTGAAACACCGACAATTTGTCAGTCCTCCTGTGCTCGTTTATTTCAGATATGCCGACTAAAGAAAACTTACCTCCGTTGCGTCTTCCATTATTCGCCCAATGTTACGTGTCAAGCATCAAAATTAAAAATATGGTCCAATTAGGCTAATTTCGTTAGAATTATTGGCGAAACATTCGAAGATCAAACACAGCTGACTAGCATATTGAATTGTATCGGTTAGAGCCTGTACACTCGGATTTTATTGGATAGATTGGATCACGTGATCGGGGTCACACCGACTAGTGACCACTATCGCAGAGGGCGTATGTCAATGTAAATACGACAAATTTATTGTTTATTTTATTTTTTATGTAAACCTACCGGAAAACATCCATTCATTCACAGGACCCATCAACTACGAACATAAAACTGCACACAATTGCATCAAGATACTTGTATATCATATATTGCAGACAATAAAATCGACGACGACGACGAATGCCATTTCGTGCTAAATTGTGTTCTTTACAATAACTTCAGAATGAATGTTTTCAAAACTTGGGCAACAAGTAAAACAGGTATAGAAAATCTCATCAGAATCTTGAAAAACAAAAATACTAGAATTTGTAGTGTCTTTGTGAAAAAAAATTATATTGTTCAAAACAAATTTACCAGCTGTCTAAATAATCATCTTTATCTCTTCAATTCTGCTCAACCTTTATTTATATTGTATTATATTTGTATGTAGATCCCAAATGAAAACTTAAAGGGCGATAGTCGTCGCTCCACGCATGCGTGAGATATATGGGTCTCTTATAAAAACAAAGATGGTGCCTTAGACTGTTGCGCAGATCAATGAGTACAAACTGAGACGTTACCAAGCTTTAATTAGGTATCTTTTAGGTGATTGGAAGGTATCGAAAGAGTCACTGGCGGTAATTAGTGCAAGTCACGTCCAGGTCAAACCTCATACTTGTGATTTCAATTACCAGTAAAAGAGCGCATTGGATTGTTGGAAAATCAATGTTTATCAACACAAATGTAGCACATGTGCAGCGCGACGACCACCGCCCTTTAATTTCAATAAAGTATTTTATTATTATCAGATTTGCACTTCTCTTTTAAAACAATCTTAAGGGTTACACCATATGTAACTTCGGGGGGTACTGTGAACGAAAGAGCAAGCCAACTGGTAGTATTATAATATTGATTACTGTTTTGCTAACATAGTAGTAATATTAGTATAAACTTACCATTACATACTGTTACATTTGAACTATCAATATTGCTATTTTGTTGGGAGCTTTATTGCAATACAGCTGGTTGTGTTGCCTTTTCTAGGCTTGTCCCTGAGCTTCATTTTTTTGGCATTGATTCCAGTGCTGACCCCATGGAACACAAGAACATTTTGAGACAGCAGATTTGATGACAGAGCAAATGACAGTAGCAAAATATTTGTTCCATATAAATTTTCTTTCCATTGGAAATACTTTTAAAAATCTTTTTTGTGAATTTGTTTTTCCCTTATACTTTTTTTTTTAAAATTAAGTTATCAACTTCAGTGCCAAGTTTGTTATGGTCCCACATATAAATATCTGAGAACCAAAAATAATTTCATAAAAAGTGAAAAATGATGAAAAACCTCATCAAGTTCAGTTCAGACTTACCGGTAAAAGTATATGCACTTTTGTGTCAAAAGTTTAATTTTCTTGGAAATGGCAAAATATTATTTTTGCATAATCATGATAAAGGGATTTCAACCTGGCTGGAAATGGTGACATCATCACAATGCATTGTGAAAAAACATTTTTTCAATTAAATTTTGATAGCTTGATTTCAGCCACAAGGGAATCAAGCTAAAACCCAAAATTGAAAACTTTAACTGATGTGCCTATTTGAGGTGATGTCAGTGTAAAATGCTATGATGACTTATTCTCTTACACAATGAAACATACTCGGTATCAAGCTGAAGTTTTATTACATGTATATATTGATGAAAAATATCAGGCAGATGATATTCCATAACAAAAGTAGAAACAAATTGTTGAAGAAATCAGTAATCTAGTTTTGGTTTCAAGACAACTCTCCCTCTCACTGGTTAGGGAGCTAACCTTTTGAAGACTGCTGGGTAGGCTGTGGATTTTGTCAAAAAATAATATAGTGGAAAGAAAGCAGAAAAAATAATATTGCACAATGACTGTATAATGTAAAAGAATTGCAAACAAATGAAAGAGAAATCTGCTGATCTGAACAAAATAAATTGCTTTACCGTACTATCAATTTTTTTTACTAAATATAAAAAGTCTGATACCCTAAATCTCAGTAAAATCAAAGAGAGCTTGAGAGTATGCTGAGAGTATTGAAGAGATATTAAAAATTAATTTATTTAAGATTAGCCTTTCAAACAAGAAGCTTAGCAACTAATGTTTGTTGTTTGAGATGCACAATGTGAAAACCATGGGATTCACATGATTGAAGTTTATAATTTTGATTGTGCATCTGTGGTTTTTAGTCTAATTTATCCCAGAACACCTCTATTACAAGTTGAATTTAATTCTGATTCTTTAAGATGGCTAATAATTAGATAATCAATATGCATATTTTTCAATCATGTCTGTGGATTACCAGAGAACATCTTCTCAGACACTTTGTATACCAAGTCTTATTGAAATGTATTACATAATTGGTTTTTGAAATATACATGCAGGTAAAAAGTGAGGTAATTATTATGCAAATTAAGCAATTATTATGCATAGATTTTAACCCCAAACTAATTAGGTCTGTGTATTGTTATAATGTGATGAAAAAACTGAAAACTGACTAATTCTTATGCAAATCAGGGAATTAATATTCACAGATGTTGATGTAAATCTAATAGAGCCTGTGCAATATCACAGATGATCTATGCACATGTACCGAGTTTCTATGAAATGTGATTAGAGCTTGAGATATCAGCGTAAAAGCCGAAAATTGGCTAATTTGTAATTAATATGCACAGATTAAGATCGAGTCTGTATTTTACAAAGTTTCATCGAAATGTAATTAGTACTTGAAATATCAGCAGAAAACCTTAAACAGACTAATCATTATGCATATTAGGTAATATTTATGCATGGATTTTTATCAAAACTATTCAATATTGTCTCAGAGCATTTATGTACCATGTTTCATCAAAATCCATTAAACGATTGTTTAGGTATCATTGAACAGCTAAAATATGGGGATTTATCATGCAAATTATGTAATTAATATGCAGAGATTTAAACCAAAAACTAATCAAATCTGTGCATTAGCTCAGAGTATCTATGTACCAAGTTTCATTGACATCCAATAAGTGGTACTTTAGATATCGTGAAGCACACACACAAACATACATGCAGACAGAGGCACTAACTACAAAGAATTATATTGCATCATCTTGACTGTAATGTAAAAGAATCACAAAGAGAAGAGAATTGTGAAAACCTGAAAAAAATTGCTTCACTGGAATATCATTTTTCTTTAGCGCCATCGCTCACAAAGTTTTTAATTGGGTAAAACCTTTAACAATATTTCCATCTGTTGAAAAATCTGATAATCCAAATAAAAAAGTGAATGTTGTTGTCCTCTTTTTAATGCAAATCATGATAGATTGCAGAGTAACATACTAAAATATACTCTTTAAATCATATTCAGATTTGTGAATATTAATTCATAATAGACAAATAATGTTATTCTCACTTTTAAAAATTCCACCTAGTGCAACACAGTAAAATAATAATAACTGATGAAAACCCATAGTGGGGCCCTACATGTATATGGATCTGTTATTTCAGCTCGTCCACATTTGCCAAGTCAATGTTTACACCGGGAATGTTGGCGCCAGGATTACTGATCATTAAAGTGCCTGTGAAATGCCCATTCATACATTTCCTGATTTGGATTTGTGTTCCACTAAAATAGACATTTATTGATTTTTTGGTTGAAAATGATTACTCGTATCCGAGTAAATCTGAGATATTTCTTGTGTTGTAGTCATGCTCACCTATCCTGAAACAGCACTCACACGCAATTGTTTTTAATTTAATAGGCTTTCTACAAGTTTCTGAATTGTTTTGTGATTGATATACATGTATATTGACTTCACACTTTTGTGATCTTTTCTTGCAATTTGATCTGTTTAATAAGTGGGCTGTCAATATTTTGCGACCACCAATTTTTTTAATTGTGATAACTCAAATCGACATAGACAGATATCGTGGGGTTGCATGGCAATTGATGTCGGCATTTCAACCGACTTTATCAACCACAAGTGACTGTGATTGTGCAGTACACAGTTGATTGTGGTGACCAGATACGTCAGGAGAAATACGGTACCGTATATTTCGTATCTATCTCAACCTTGTACGATAAACCTAATATGTGTTCTTTATGGTAGACTCTTCCTCGAGAAACAAATACATAAGTGGCAATTTAGTCAAAGACGAGAAAATTGAATAAAAAATGTGTCTTATATACATTATTGGCAATGCACGCTGACCAGCAAGATCCCCTTCATATGTCACAAGGGGTATTTGAGTATGCAAACGGCAAATTAATGAGGCACCTCGTTTTAAAATACATAAAAATAAAATTGGTGTAGATTGAGTTTGAAACCCATTTTTTCACTTTAAAAACATAAAAAACAAGCCATGCATGGCACAGTCCCCGTTATCAATTTAAGATATATAGTTTTGTTTATAGTAATATAGCTGGAATATACCCATGTCAGAAATATGATTTTTTAACATTAAAATGATTGACATTTGTATCTGATCATCAAACAAGTACTTGTCCATATTGAGAGATATTGCTCTGGAACAGCATTCAAAACCAGTTATTTTGAATACATGTATATATATAACATGATGTATAATGAATATTTAAAATTTGAACATAATCAGTCAAAACAAGTCGAAGATATAGGTCTAGAAGCCCAGTCATTAAAACAAAATGGCCACCAGACAGCCATTTTGAATCCGATCTGAAAAATAAATGATGTGCATCAGGTGA